GCACAGACAGACAGACCAGACTTCAAAAGTTTTATTATAAATTTTGCTCCAGTAAAGGAGTTAGGCCCCATAACATTTTTCTGTTCTTTATAACTTTTTTTCCTGAATTTTTTCGAGAATTTAGTCTACATACGAAAATTGAAAGGACAATAATTAGAACATTATAGACAAGTGTAATCAAGATCTTTACAGCCGTTTTCGCGATACAGTCTATAGAAAAACATGCGTTTTATTTATTGCTCACGGAGCACCGAATTTCTGGCACAGGCATCAGTAGTCAAAAGCCTACAAAATAAAAAAAAAGAAGCAACAAAATCGGTTCAGTACTTCCCGAGAAAATCTTTGCATAGACAAACAGACAGACCAATGGCTAATAATGTGTTTTTCGGACTCAGGGGGCTCTGAAACGAATAATCCGTCGAAAACTGCATGTCGGAAATTTGACCCGATCGCAATATTTTCATTACCTAGTATATGTAGAAAAGTAAAAAAAGATATTTGTATCTCCATCTATGAAAAGCCTGTAAAACGATTTGATTTTTTCCAAAGAAACAACTATACTGTAAAAAAGTTCCTAAAGCAACAAAGAAATGTGTAATATAAACAAATTGCGTCTAAAAAGAAACCTAGGTACTTCTCGACTCCGCTTTAAAGACTTAGCTGATTATTAAGCATTTTATCTACTGCACTAATGATCCCAACCAGAGAAAAATATACATTGGACGATAATGGACCGTTTTAAGAGGAGAGTAAGCTGAAATTGGGCGGGGTATCTGTCTGTCGGTACCAATTGTCACGGCAACAACTGCTTCCATCACCACAGTCAAATAACCACAACCGCTATTCGCGTTACTTCAGTCAGACGCTCCACCCAATTTTAGCTTCTTTCTTCAGAGAGATACATAGAAGACGGATATGTTCCTCTGACTGGACTGCACTTACAATCGTCACTTACCAGCTGGTCGTGTTGCCTACCAACTGATGATCAAAGGATGATTTACAAATACTCACAAAATTATGCACGAGGTGCGTTTCTCGGTGAGGCAGTATTTTTTGTGTCAATAATTTTTAGAGCTGCAATCCATTTTCCTTTTTTTTTTTCTATTTTCGCAGTGACGTTGTGGTGCTTTTGGGAGGCAAAATAATATTTAAAATCATTATCATGTATAAGGAATATTTATTCACAATACTTGGAGAATTAAGAAGGATAAAATAAAATTTTGATTATTAAAAAAAAAAATACTAAAAACCCAGTCTGTAGCGTCTGAACATAATAGTATGTCTACTAAAAAACATTAGTAGTTTGTTATTGAATTTGATATCTTAAGAAATTCCATCTTATTAATCTATACATACACATAATATCAGACAGAAACTCTCTATCCTATCCGAAAACGCCGTTATATATCCTCTATATTACGAATAATAACCTAGCTATGTTTAAGTAGATGTTGTAGTATTCTGTGCTTTAAAAAACAAAACATTTTTTGCGTAGTGGAATTTTTTATTTAAACAAATTTTTTTTAAAAGATTTTCATTCCATATTTAGAAAAACATATTCTTTTATAAAATGTTAGAGGAAAGACACTGAAACAGAAAATAAATTAAATTCTAACATTGTATTTCTAATTTTCTTTGATAACTAAGAAATGCCAAACACTTATCTTTAATGCTAGGTATACCTCAATGTTCCATATGTTTCCTATTTGGCCAAATCCAGATACCTATCCTTCCATAATCAACTTCATAACCATCCGGATCCTCTTGTTTCTAACCGGGCTTCCTCTTCGATTCCTGATAACCCTAAGAAGCGTCTGAAAAGAAGATGGCCTCGTGATCTCCTCATGTAGATTAATTATTAGAGTGCTACCAATGGGTAGTTTCTCAACAAGCGTGATTATATTCCTCTGTACACATTTAGTATATGTATTCATACTAATAAAGTTGTAAATATCATAATAAAAGTTAAAAAAAAAAAGTGCTAGGTATGTAAGACTACTCAAAAATGAATGGTTAATGAAAGGAAAGTTGGATGTATTTTTTTATATAAAGAATTTTGGATATAATCCTTTATAGATAGATAGATAGATAGAAAGTAAACTTTATTCTGGGACAAGGTCCCTTATGAATAACAGATATGAACAAAAAAATTAAAACTACATCTGGCCAAAAATTACATTAATCAATATTAAAGAATATATACAGTATCTTCAGTGAAATTAAATTAAAACAAGTAAAAATAAAATAAAATTTTGAGTAAAAACGAAATAAAAAAAACATTATTTAAATGAAAATAAAAATAAAATAAAATAAGCATGGGTTGATTTTTAAAATTAAGACAATAAATTTTATCAATCATTCACCTCAGTCAAAATCTGTTTCACAATATTTATTTTATTGTATAACGTCATTTTGGGATGTGAGAAGGAATTGGTAAAGATGATATTTAAATGAGGACAAGGAAGAGGCATGACGGATTTCAGATGGCAAGGAATTCCAGAAGGCTGTGGATCGGGAAATAAAGGAATATTCAAACGTCTTAGTTCTATGGGAAGGGATAAAATTTATTTCTGATTGTTCTTGTGCTTACAAGTTTTATTGCCAATTCCATTAAAGCCTAAGAACTATAGGTTGAAATATTTTACATACTGACAGGCGAAAAATTCCACCCACTTGATTTTTTCATGTTTTCATCTAAAAATATTTCTGCCACTTGTAAAAAATGTTGTATTACGTATAATACATGGTATTTGTAGATAATACTTAGTATTTATGGAATTTTATAATCTTTTTTACATTTAATAATCAAAATGTGATTGGGTAAGAAAGATTAGAGAAAAAAAGTCCAATGGCTGTGTTCTCGAGCAAAAGCCAGCCGTGTTATTCTGTGAGTTTTGGTCAACTCTGGTCCTCTTACTGGACGAAAAGCCATTAATCCATACTCATTTAATCTTCTCCGAGCGGTACGTTCAGAAATTTGCACACCTCGAACTTCTTCGAGCTGATGAATCGCTTGAACAACGGTAGGGTGCCGGTTTGTGCCGGTTTCGAAAATTCCCAAAGTCAAAAAGCGGTCATCAAGTGGTTCTGTTACCCTAGGCCGTCAAGAACCGGGCCTTCTATTGTAAGAACCAGTTTCCCGAAAACGCCTGACGGCGTCTCGTAATGTTTCATATGGAACTCTGATGGCATTAGCTGCATATCTAATGGAACGTCCATCATCAATAAGTGCCACACCACGCGCAACATCCTCAGCACTAAGAGGCATTTTTAAACTTCTATTGAAAAAAATAAAAGCCAGAGACTAAGAAATGTGCTGCAAGAAACGACACTGAACTAATGATACTGAATAAACATTTTGATTCCAAAGAAAGTAAACATTGGAATCTAGAATCATTTCATTGAATTAAGGATTAAGGGTTATTGTCCTCTATATTAATAATCCTAATTGAAAACAAACAAAAAGATTACCTATATATTCATTAAAAACAATAGACCAATCCAAAGCAGAAATATTTTTAGACATGAAACGTGAAAACATCAAAAATTCGGCTTTACAACGATTGCAGTAACGTTAAATTAACTAGAAAATTCTGGTGGGTTACCAATGTTTTAGGAAGCGCCATGAAAGGAAATCCGCAAATGAAATCAGTTCCAAAAATATGTATTTTTTTATTTCAAAACTAATCTAATTTAAGAGATTTAAAGGAAGCTTGGAACGAATCTCGATCGATTTTTCATTACTAAAATCTACTTACCCTATTTAACTCGAATTATTTATTTTATTTTTATTTTTTGTAATTCGTTATGCATTTGAATTCTTTTTGTAAAGTTAGCAATATATTTTTTTTTATTTTACAAGAAACCAAATCGGTTGATGTATTATAGCCTTTACATTAATGCTGATATAAAACAAAGCATTAAAGTTTTATAAGATATTTTTTCTCCACTTATAGAATGCTTTGGCAAGCACTCTCGAACATGGACCTAATATCTTTCGATTTTGTATAAAGAAACAGGTTCCATTGAAATTGGTGATCCTAGTCCGTAACATAATCTTGTAGACATGTTTGTCACAATATGTCAAAAAAAAAAATTATTGTTTTATTAATGTATTTTTTTTTTTTTTATTTTTATTATTGAAATTTACAACTGTATAATGATAACTACAACTATTAATTATGATATAACTAACTCAACATGTACAACATAAAGAGAAATTACCCATTGATAGCACTCCAATTATATTTCTATATTAAAAGGTCCCGAGACCATCTTCTTTTCAGACTCCTCGGAGGGTTATAGGGTTGGAAACAAGAGGGTTCGGTTGGTTCAGAAGTTTATTATGGAAGGATAGGTATCTGGATTGAGCTAAATCGGAAACATGTGGTACATTAAGGTCGTTATGGATGATTTTATTTGTGACAAAGTTGGGAGCATTGAGGATTTTACGAAGGATTTTGGATTGTAGGGATAGGATACGAGAGGAATTTGATGGTTTAGTAGAGCCCCAAAGCTCGATCCTGTAAGTCCTAATAGGCCTTATTATAGTAATATGTATGAGTCTTTTGTAAATAGTGGGCAGTTGAGTGCTGCAGTAGTAGAAAACGCCAGGCAGTTTTTAGTCGTTTCAGTCTGGTATGAGGATTCCAAGTAGTTTGTCCGGGTGGAGTCCTAGGTATCGGATTTATTCAACAGGGATAAGTGTTTTATTAATGTAAACTAATAAAATCTTACTAAAGGACAGAAAAACAATCGACATCTGTGTTGACTCATGTTTCTCATGAAGTAGTATGATTTTGGATTTATTTAATTTTCTGTCCTAATGAGACGTGAATTGGCGAAACATTAACGGGTTATTTTATTCTATATATCCATTTTTAAGCACAACACTATGTTTTTGAATTTTTTTTTCTGTTTTAGTCTAATATATATATTTATATGAATGGAATATTTTGAGTTTTATTTACTTTTAATTATTATTGCTTACTAATTAATAGATGTGGAGCAAGAGAGTTGAGATATCGGGATGATCTGAAGGTGGTTATAGACACTGATGTTGGTGCCGACGATGCCATGGCCATCTTGATGATGTTATCCAAACAGAGCAAAGCGGAGGTTTTGGCAATAACCACCGTCAAAGGAAACACCGGGGTAGAGAACGCGACGAGGGGTGCACTTCTCATTTCGGAAGTAGCCGATCGGAAAGAAGTAAGCATCTTTATATTATCAGCTTATTGAAGCATTTGGTAATTTGCAATGCAGAAAATTATAGTGGTCATTCTTATATCATTTGACCATTTGATGTCCCTGAAATTTACATTCGTTTTTTAAATCTCTGGTTCTCCGGTTAAAATAAAGTAAAAGTATTATTTTTTTTTATTGTTACTAAGAAATGGAATAGTGAAATTAAACATAGATCTACCTCAATCACAAGAAAAAATATCTCAATGTGAATGTAAAAAAAAAAAACGTATCGAATGTTACTGCCTCGAAGATAAGAATGCGAAGTTCTTCATGGTTTTATATCATCCATTATTTTTTAATCATGGGGATTTTTATTCTTACATGATGGTATTTCGAATTATAGATACCTTTTTTAGTTGTCTCTATTACTTTGACTGTAGAGTAGAAAAATTGGTTTGCCTTCGAAATTTGGAGAAAACCGTTGTAGCGAATCTTGCTGACTGTTTTTACAATACTGTTCATTTAATATGGCGGAAAAAAAATTTATACAAACTGTTTGTAGTTCCAGCTATCAGTCCATGTTTTATCTTGAGGTATAAAAGAGCTGACTGGAGACTAATTGAAGGTTACTATCAAAACATGCTATGTCACAAAAATTATGCATAAAGAATGTTATTATTTTACTTAACATTGTTCAATTAACATAATGGATGATATTTGGAAACCACATAGTTTCGAGGGATTTATTTATGGATAGGGTTTCATATCTATCCAGCATTTGCTTCTGTATGATAACGTAACAAATTTTTCTATTATAACTATAAATTTAATATAATTTATTTTAATCATCTCTAGTACCAATTGATCATATCAGTTTTTTACTATAAACATTTATAAAATAGGAGGAGAATTTTAATTGTTTTTCTTACAGGCATTGATGAAAGAAACGAAATATTTGTTATGTTGAATTAAAATATTTATGGTTTATTTTTATCATTATTATATTCATAGCTATTATGTCTTTCCAATATACTAATAAGTTTGTTTATTTAAACTGTTTGAAGAGAAACATCCTCGTATAAGAAACTTTAAGTCCATATTAATTATGTTTTAGCTTTAAAAAAATATTAAGAAAACTGATTATCGAAGTTCAAGTTTTCTATCTAGGACATCTATACTAATATGTGAGATAAATTTTTCTTAAAAAATTTGATATTTTTTAACCTGAATTGTTATATTCAGGGTATGGGAAATGGTCAAATAATATAATATAATGGCCTATAGGCATTTTAGGAACTTACTGTTTCTTTTAGATCCCAGTCTACATGGGGAGTCCACAAGGAATAATATTTGAGGAGAGCTCGTCAAATTACTTCGGCTACGATGGCCTGGGAGATATCTTTGACAAACCTCCGCTTGATCTCAAAAAAGAGGGACACGCAGCATTAGCTCTTGCGCGGCTGGTGAAGGATAACCCTGGTAAAGAAAACATATTTATTGATATTAAATAGTATTTCACTATAATGTAGACGTTTTATTTATTATGAACAGTTTTAAATAAAATTTTCCCTAACATAAAATGTATGTCTTATGACCAACGTGAGATATCTCTTCTTTGTATCGGACCATTGACAAATCTAGCCTTAGCAATGCACATTTATCCACGACTGCAGCTGGATCTGAAAGAGATCATTATTTTGGGAGGCTCGTACAAAGGTATGTTCAGGAATATTTTAACAAATTAATAATGCTTGACCGAGATATGGAATTTCAAAACAAGAGAAATCCAAACTGACCTATTAACTCAAAACATCTGAAAGATAGATTTACTTGGATTTTTCATTTAATAATATTTTGGATTTTGCTGGTATTAAAAATTCATTGAAAACAAAAATATGTTTCATATAATATTTTTTACATAAGTTATTATACTGAAGATTTCTATATTCATTTTATGTTTTTAAAAATCTAACTGGAAGACGTTTCGAAACAATTCTTTCATCTTCTCAATTATTTATATAATCCCAAGTTTTTACTGCATCACTGCTTAAAGTGCTTTTCCTCCCTTTATATTTTTTGCAATATCCACGGATTTCTAATCATCACATTCAGATTGAAATACGAAATGGGACGATATGCTAGTGACTAAGAGCAATTTTAACAATGACGAAGACCATCTCTGGATATTATAGGAAATAGAAAGACAGAAAAAGCATTTTAGTTATTTATATAAAAAAAGAAAAAGTATAGGTCTTATTATTGTCACATATGTGAGTCGTTTGTAATTGATTGAAATCTTATAGCGTTTGTCTAGTAAGTGTTGGAGTAGTCGGAAACGTCGAGCGGTTTCTTGTCGTTTCAGTCTTGTATGAGGATTCCATGTTAGTCGTTTGTCGAGGTGGAGTCCTAGGTAACGGATTTGTTCAACTGGGATTAGTGGGGAATTATTAAAGAATACTGTAAGACGGGAGGTCATAGGTTTGCGACGAGGGATCAATGTATTTTTGATGGGATTCATTGGAGTTTATTTTAATCTTCCAGTTTTGACACCATTCTTCAAGACTTGTGATGTGTGATTGGAGAGTTTGGGATGCAATTGATTCATCGTTGTTAACTGATAGGATACACGTGTCAGCGGCATAGGTGGTGATGACAGTGTTAGGATGTAATAAATAAATTTCAAAAAAAAAAAAAATATATATATATATATATATATATATATATATATATATATATATATATTATTGTGTTATCGTAAGATTTAGGATTTTTAAAAATGGTTTCCTAAAAAACAATATCATTAACCTGATCAATGAAAAGTTCAAAAAGAGAATTGTTTATATTTTGGGGATTATTAAGTTCTAAATATGACCTCGCCAACTTCTTTAAATTTCATAACCTCCAACCGGCCAGAGAAAGTAAATCAGGCTGGTAGATTTTAATAGTCTTTATCGTGAGTTGATGTGTTGATTGTTCCAGAGCCCTTTAGTATTTTGTGTTTTCTTATGATTATCACTATTCCAATGAAATGAGAACTTAAAATTATTGATTTTTAGGACGAGGAAATGTTAAGCCAGGAGTTGAATTCAACATATATATGGACCCGGAGGCAGCCGCCTTAGTCTTTGCCAATGTTCCTCAAACTAAATTGATAACTTTACTTCCTCTGGAAACAATAGAAGAAAATTCCTATACCAAGGTAAGTCAATTTTATATTTATTAGTAAATATACATAAAACAATCGTTTTTGTCGTAATTTGCCGAATATAATTTACATTTCCATCATGTCGGAAGTTATCCCATTCAGTTTGGACAGGCGACAAACAAATTTGGAATGTGACAAATAAATCCTGTTAAAAAAATGCAACCACTATGTGACTGAAGTGATTCACAACAACATGTGAGTAATTGCTAACAAATTATTTGTAGAAGTTGTTGACGAAATGATGCAATCAGATATTTATCCAAATAATCAAAGTCCGACATTTAGCATTAATGTCCAATCATAGATTATATCGTAACGTAACTGATTTATTCGTTATTCCTTCATAAATTATTATTGAGACGGAACCAATTATTATTTTGCGATATTGGTTTTTATATCACCATAGAAATTCGAACTTTACAGGCGATGTTTCAGTGAGTTTATCTTGAAGTTTGAAAGTCATTTGGATAAAAATAATTTCATTAATATATAAAACTAAATTATTACTAAAAAATAATTTATTTATTTTCCTGGGGTAGCCATACGGGCTAAGGCGCTTGTAATATGTAATCAAAGTTAAGCAACGTCAAGCGTGGTTAGTACTTGGATAGGTGACCGCCCGATTTGGGTGACCGTCCACCAGGGAAACTTCCAGATTGGCCTCGGTGGGGTTGGCTATGAAGCTACGGGTGACTCCCTCCATGCTATCTGATCTCTCGCAAGCAACATACCATATCTGTAATCGCAACCAATCTGTAAGGAGACCATATCTCGCGGTCAAAGATCTTCATATTCTGTAGTGACAACCGAAAAATAAAAATAAATAAATAATATATATATATATATATATATATATATATATATATATATATATATATATATATATATATATATATATATATATATATATATATTTGTGTGTGTATGCTCAGAGGCTGCAGTTATATGGTTTACAAAAACAGATGGATTACCGAAGCTTATATTGTACGCCGCTGATATAATTAATAGGGTTTTTGTTAGTTTAGTGGTCTTAACGATTTGTTAGCTGTAAGTTTTAAGATATAGCTCCGCTAAAAGTGCACTTCATAATGTAAGATGTAAGTGGAAGTGGTGTATTGCGCGCACCATATTTTTACTTTACTACTAATATTCAAGGAAAGCCCATATTGTATTCGGGGTTTTAATATGACCTTACATTCCATAGCCCCTGAGGCTTTATACATATTTACTTCAATTAGACTTTTTTTATATGTCAGTATTTTTGGTCTTCTGGAGTTTCAACCTCCAATGACAATGGACATGTAATAATGACTGCTTCACAATATGCGAGGAATGTATTTTTTTTTTTTCTAAGATATAATTTGTTTGTTTTACACCTGGTTGATCTTTGACTTGAAAGAGCTCCATTTTTGCCAATATGTAGTTATTTTATTGCTTTTCAGTTTGCTAAATGTTACTCAACATCAATTGCATTGTCACTGTGCTACCTATACACCTATTTTTTGGCTTCCTGTCTGATCTCCTGTTAACTATTAAAGCATCCATTGTTGTTCAGAGGCTTACTGTTGGATTACTCCAATTTACATTCCGTTCCTTTGATCTTAATATCCTTGTTTTTATAACATAAGATATTCATACTGAGAGAAGTTCTTTAATTTTCTTTCTCATCTACCCGTCACCCCATATTTGATCACCGTAAGAAGATTTTTCCCTGAAATCTTCAAATATTTCTTCTTACGGTGCTGAGTTAAGTCCAGTTCTGGCTGAATGCCCGATCTGGTTTATTTATATATTTTTACACTCTCAGTTTGAGATTTATTGAGATCTCAGTAGCTTTGAAACAGATAAAGTTCCTTTATTCTGTGATGGTTTGTTGCTGATGGTTGGTCATTTATCGAAGCAATTGTGAAACCGAGGTATTTAAACCTGTCTTCACTCAGGAGTCATTTTCCTCCTACACAGATTCTTTTTTGCTTATTACCTCGTAATTTGTTGTTGTTTTTTTATGGTGTGCTTCTCTAGTCAGCGTCTTAGTGACTCTCGCAATGAGTCCTTCATTGCTTCCTAGGAAAGCTGTACTTGTTATTAAATACATTATTGTGATTCCGTGCGCTTGAACGTGTTAAGGAGCCAGTATCTTAATAATATCTTACTACTTTCGGGTCGGTAACGGCCTGAATTCGACTCCTGGACGGGTCGAAAATTATTTCTTGGTGACATAGTTTTCAGGATCTCGTCACTATAGCTAAGACATATCTGTAACCTGAAGGAGAATTCCACCTTTTTTCTTAGACGGAAGTCATTCCTTATTCGCTTACTATTTTTTTTTTTTTGTTTCTTGTATATATTGTATAAATGAATTATTGTATCACTAATACTTGTTGCCCTTCACGAGGCAGATTGTATTATCATTCAATAAAATATTCTTTTAAAAAAAGGTAATCATGCCAGAAACAAACAAATTATAACTATGTAGGATTTTGGGTATTGCAGCATTGTGTAACTTTTTTTAACTATTAAAATAATTATCATTAAGCAATTATTTTAATTATGATGTTCATAGTAATATTATTAGTTAATATTTCTCTATTATATTGTCCTTTTTCAGAACTGGAGGTTGAACGATCTTGGAAAAATAGACTCGACTTTCGTGAATTTCTTGAACAAGGCTGAGTGGTTGGCCCTAGCCAACGCTGATGAAACCTGGCTTGAATTCGATCCGACGGCCGCAAGCTTCCTTTTAGACCCGTCCATCGCCACTTCGACGAAGGACGCCTGGGTGGAAGTGGAGACTTCCGGCACTATCACTCGAGGAGCTATGATTCTTGACCAGGATAACAAGAAAACGAACATAAGAATTGTGACCGGCCTAGACAAAGTTAAACTGCAGAGCATGTTGCGGACTTATTTGAGTGATTGAAAGTTATAGCGAGTTTGGATGATTGAGCATATACTGACAGCGGAACCAGTTTAATGGGAAAATTTAAACTTATTAAAAAAATTAACTATTATCAGTATTTGTAAATCAATAAAGTTATAAAAGTTCATGTTGTATTGACGTCTAAGATTTCAGTAGCTTTGAAACAGATAAAGTTTCTTTATTTCGTGATGGTTTGTTGCTGATGGTTGGTCATTTATCGAAGCAATTGTGACAGACGTCAAAGAACAACTGTACAGTATTTTTATTGTTTTAACTATTATTGAGTATAATATTATCATTATGTTTCTATTAAACAATAAATTAAAATCAACTTCCTTCATTAATATCCAAGAGATTCATATCTATTTTTGACTGGTTGACAGCAGCAAAAGAAGCTCTTACCCTTCCATTACGTGGTAAAGCCTTCTTATCTACGTCCGAACTGGCGCGACGCCTGAAAGAGCCCATACACCAAGATCGGCAGACCCTATGGGAGAACAGCCCTCCAAATAAATTAAATGTCACAAGAAAGGAAGTGAAGCCATGGAGCAGTTCCAGTCGCAGTAAAAGCAAAGAGGAAGTTGAATAGGTCATACCAGACTTACGTACCTTCACTTAATTGCGGAAGAAAACCCGCCCATTTGTATTAAGTATGGAGAGAGAATGACAGTGGTCCATATCTTCGAGAGCTATGCATTTTACACATAAGAGGAATACCAGCAAATGCACAAGCTTCTTTGGGAAATGAGAAAAAAATCTTAGGCAAAATCATATGTTTTCTTTTTGAAGGATGATTCTTCTCTGTACCTCTCATGAAGCACTCCCCACCTGTTTTATTTTCCTTTTAACTTTTTTTTCCCTCTTCTTTTCTCTTTTTTACCTCTTTTCTTCCTCTTTTTTTTCTCTTTTACCTCACATGCTAACTTTAAATAACTCAACTTTAATAACTGTAAACACCTTTAACCTTAACATGCATTTTACATCTGTTCAATTTTATCCAATTGTTAATATTCAAAACCAGAAGATATAGTAATATATAATTTTAAATAACGGCGTTGATGACCAACAGATTTTATACCTTTACTATACAACAAGAAACCATATCTATTTGCTTTAGTTTATTTATTTAAAGATAAATCACATTTTTCACTTTATAGTCCCAATGATATCAATCCATAATTTATTTGAAATACGACATTTTAGCCTATTATTCATTCATTGACAATGAGTTCTCTCTTATAATTGACAATGAATCATTATGAATGAGAGAGAATTGAGTGTGAAGACAACTATTTATTACATATAAATCAAACTGTGATATCATTCATTTAAACTTGTTCATGAAAACATTTATTATTAATTATATTTATTTACATTTTTCTAAATTTGTGTAAATTCAAATGTACTAGGCAACTTTATAGCGAATACCACGTTAGTTTTTTTTCTTGTTTAAGGAATATTTTTTTTTTTTTTTTTTTTTTTTTTTATTTCAATGGAATTTACAACTGTATTACATAGAGAATACAATAAGTAAATGAGAAATTTGTAACATGGCATGTACAACATGAAGAGAAACTACCCATTGGTAGAACTCAAATTAAAGTTCTATATTAGAAGATCCCGAGGCCATCTTCTTTTCAGACGCCTCGGAGGGTTATCAGGGATCGAGGAGGAAGCAAGGTTTGAAACGAGAGGATTCGGATGATTCTGCAGTTTGTTATGGAAGGAAAGGTATCTGGATTGGGCCAGATCGGAAACATATGGAACATTAAGGTCTTTATGGATGATTTTATTTGTGACAAAGTAAGGAGCGTTGAGGATTTTACGAAGGATCAATCTTGCTTACATAAATCGGAGGTGGCACTGGTTCAGTGAAAGTTCTAGGTTCAGTGATTTCGTTAATTTTATTATTGGCTGTAACAGAATTGTTACTGGATGTGTTAGTTGATGGTTTAGTGTCAGGTTTCATAGCTGAATTATTACTAGTTTTTGATTCTTTATTTACTTTGAGAGCTTGCTTTGTTTTAGCGGATTTGTTTTTTTTTTTATTAGGTGAGTTGCCCGCCGAACCGGGGGCAGAGTTTCTATGGCGCTTTTGGAGAGTTCGCCTTGTTAAATATTGAGAATCAGTCTCACTGATTTCGGAGAAAGGAGTCTCTTCATCTGATTCGTCAAAAGAAATGTTCTTATCAGAATCCATACCTCTAAATAATAATATATACAAAAAGAAGAGAGAAAAAAAAAAAGTATCACTAATAAGAAAATTTACAAAACAAATACTTAATAACTAATCTATTTACAAATATATATATAAAATATTAAAAAAAACATTTTTATAAATAAATAAAATAGAGTCTCAGTAGAAAAAAAATATTAAAATAAAATAATCAATTAAGAAATAAAAACAGAGAAAAAAAAATATATATACTGTCTTAGGTACGAACTCAAGATATTCTGAACGTAAAATAAAGCGCCGTGACCTTGAATTTGAAAGATAAGACCCGCTGAGGGGAATTATCTGCCACGTAAACTGTCTCTATCAATCGAGTACCAATTTAATGTTGCTAATTGTTAATAAAAGTCACTCACCTCAGTGATTGTAATGTAAAAATGTTAAATTGTTTATAAACTCACTGTTTACAAAGTCTGAGAACAGGATTTGAGATAATAAGCACATAACAAACTAGCAAAGACGGAACGATACGAATATAGAACCTCAGTTTCGGCCATGACACTTACGACTTAAGGAATATTTTACATTTCAGAATCTCTACGTAATAATATTTTTATAATACTTGTTTTTGTTGGACGAAATTCCTTAATTCAATGAAAATCGGTGACTCTATCGAGGTGCCTCATATAAAGGACAGACATCTGTTATTTTTAGAAAGGAGAAAGAAAGTTGATTTTTGTTTTATTGGTTCAACTCAAACTGCTTCTGATGATTTTATTTAAGGATATCGAATCATTAGAGTTGGTTTACATTGAAATTACGTTACAAAAGCTGACTTTTTCGAATTTTTAAAAATTACAGATATCTATCTTTGATATAAAGCCACTTATCTGTTTATTAGTGAACCTATAAAGCTATAATGATCGGACTTATCATAAATATTAATCATTAGAATATAAATAAATTTTATATATATATATATATATATATATTATATATATATATATATATATATATATATATATATATTTAATTATATATTATGTAATCGCGATTAAGTTCTTTTTCAATTGTCTCCAATTTTTTTTTCTTTTTTTTTTTTTTTTAATACCTTATTTCTCATATAATTGTATTTATACATTTCCCGGTTATTTTAATGAGTTATGTTTCTAAAAGCACATTAGAAAATACCTGAATATGCAGTTGTGTCTGATTTTTGAATCGGCTCACAATCAACAGTACAATAAAACAAACTCGCTATGCAAGGTTCACAGTTTTAAAGAATGTTTGCAATTGCACCCTGCAAACGGTAAAACGGCAGTGAACTGGAATTCCTGTAGTTTCCTGTCAGATAACTTCCAGTGGACTGAGCCGTCACTTGAAATTAAAAGCTAGGCATGTCTTGAACAAAATATTTCTCAAATCTTCCGCAGGTCCTAACTAAACTGTTTTTCCTGTTTGAAATTTTGAATACGAAATAGGTTTATTCTGTATGGCCTAGATAAATAAGCATCTCTTCATTCTAAATTTACTCAAACTAATAACTCAATAAAATTATAAATGTAAAATATCCGTTTTTTCTTTCAGACCTTACGAAATAGTAGATGAGTTAGCAAAATAGATATTTTTTCACCTGAAACAGTAAAAAATTAAAATAAATCACAACAGTTTCCAGTCGAGTACTCTGTGGTTAAAATTATATATAAGAGAAAACTATTATTATGTAAAAAAAATTTATTTTTTTGGATTTTCTTTTTGCGGTTTCATTTTTGGAAATGACAAATTTTCTTCTAAAAAAGTTTTTTAATAAAAAAATAATTTTTATATATAAAAAAATTGCACATATGATGTTAAATTGTGACTATATAAGTAATTTGTTTGATTCTTCAGGAATACGATATTAATGTTTCTGAATATATATCCCGCTTCTGGCTCTCGGGAGTGATAGTTTGGACGAATAAGGTATCGATAAAAAGGAATATCACATAGAGTCCGTGAATTGTAATTTTGAATGCTAATTTTATACTAGGAATTAAAAAAAAAAGTTAATCTACAAGTTGGAGGTTTCAAACCATTTGAGGTCTCAACGAATCGAGACGTTAGAAATGAATTCATAATTTGTGAATAACTCGAAAAGAACTAAATTTTGAGCCCATATAAGTTTTTTTGAAAGCTTACTGAAGTCCATACAAAACGAGAAAAAAACATCGAAATCGTACGATTTAGTGCTGAATTATAGTGTCTGGACATTTAGTATTTGTTGTACCGCAAATATTCCGTTGCACATTCTGAATTAAAAATTTTAACAATTGGCACTATTTTTCCGGAGAACAGTAAATCAATTATCCATCTGTTAGTATCTTTATTTTTATAAATGTGTCTCCCATTAAACACTTTTTGGAATGTTTGTAGTCCGTGGTACAGATGACCTTTTATCAAATTATTAACATCGGGCTCACTTCCTAAATAGTTTCATCTCATCATAACCTACAACTATTTATTTTATTTACGAAAACTCTTGGAATTGAGGCCTTTTTAGTATTTAAGAGGGGCAAACATTGTCTATTTAATTAGGGACTAAAAACTCGTTAATATATTTTCTTTCTACTTGGATCGTAAGATAATTTAATGAAAAAATCGAGAAAAAAGATAGTCTTCAAAAATATTGAGCCATTTGGCGTGAACTACACCCCCAATTTTTTTAAAATAACCAGATTATATAGGACAAACGGTCCAATATTTTTGTAGGATACATTTTTTTATATATTTTACATATTATCTTACGACCCAAGTAGAAAGCAAATGTGTATTTACGAGTTTTTATTGCCTAATTAAATAAACAAAATTTTCTCCCCTCCAGATTCAAAACGCTCCAATTCCAAGAATTTCCGTAAATAAAATAGTTGTAGGTTAGGATGAGATGATACTATTTGCGAAGTTTCAGGCGGATGTTATTAATTCGATGAAAAGGGGTCTGCACCATGGACTATTGTCAATGTGCTTCAATTACAAAAGCTTATATCTTTATTATTGTCATTTATCATTTTAAAAACACACTTACAATTTTTTTTCAATGATAAAGTTACACATATAGGTCTAACTATTCCTTTTTGAGAATTCGAGCCTTTTTTTCATTTTCCTTCATCAGATATTCAAAGCAATGTTTAGAACCTTCCGTTTTAAGAATTCAAGAGTACAGTAAATAATTTATCCGTCAGTATTTTTATTTTTATCAATGTGTCTTCCATTAGAAACCCTTTTTGGTATGCTTGTCAATGTTTTTCAATTATAATAGCTTTTACTTTTAGATCTTTATTATTGAAGTTTATCATTTTTAAAACACGCTTTAGATTTTTTTTAACGATAAAGTTACACATATAGGTCTAACTATTCCTTTTTGAGAATTCGAGCCTTTTTTTCATTTTCCTTCATCAGGTATTCAAAGCGATGTTTATAAGAATAAAATTTAAAATAAAGGCGACGTGTACGGCGATATTACAAAGTTAATTTCATAATCCTTTCACAGTTTCACAACTCAATAGGGAAAGGTGGCCACTTGATCATGTGAAATAAAACCCGCCCCTCCACCTGGAGCATTACCTTGTCTGCCAGTTCTTGCAACTGAATTAGTCTAGATTCGCCGGAATGATCAGGACTCCCAATGGAATATATTTGGCCGCATTTGCAGCTGCTATTTTCATGACGTAAGTAATTTAATTTAGTAGTTTTACTATAATAATCAACAAATGATTCACTATAACAACATCTTAAAGTCTGATCTTTATCAAGGAAAGATTGTAAGGTATTGTTTTTTCTCAAGTCAAAAAAGCCGTTGTTATGTTGAACATTGCGTGCCTGTCAATTCTCTTGAAATCAATAATCTTCTAATCTCATAGAAATATTCCTATTAAACTTCCAAACGATAGTAAAACTCAGTACTGTTGTGACTGAGAAATATTAATAACGATATCACCAAAGGGCATAACGGTTATATATTAAGAATATTGTAACATTATATCATAAAAGAAAAAAAAACTTGAGGTGTCCCATTTGGAATGTAGGTGACCATTGTCTAGGCAACTTGATACCCGTGGAAGCATGTTTACTACAATAACTTTCTAATAGGCGTGAAATAGCTGTATGAAAATGTGGTATTTTTGCAAATGAAACTAAGACAATAAAAATTAAAATATAAAAGTGTAAGTACATGAAAGTTATTTAAGTGAAACTATATTGCCGCTTTGACAAATTTATTGTTGTTTTGATATTGCTCCTTGAAAATACCGGTAAAGAATGGGGTTAAGCTATATTTTATTATTTTGTTATGATTAATAACCTCGAAAATTACTATTGTTACTTTCTTTCCATTTAATTGTGTTCTTGCAACTACTGTAGGCCAAAAACTGTTTCTCGTGTTTTTTTAGACAAACCGAAATTCACACACTTTATAGACCAACGCCATTTTTTAAGCTTTATTGCAAGTCAACTGATTTAAATAGTAATTTGAAAAAATAATCGTTTATAATATCCCCAAGAAATTTCTATTTAACATGATGATTGTCTTGGATTTAATCATTTAAAATACTACACATTATCAAAATTATAACTTAAATATTTATAATTAATAATAATTTAAAATCGCGATTCTTCACAATAATTATGGTTAGTTTATATTTTTATTTAAATTTTAATTATGTATTTCTTGCCCTAATCGAAATCGGGTAAATGATCATTGGTATTTAATAGAGTAAAAGGGGTGCAAACAAGAACCATGTTTGAATTTTAATAATAATAATAAAGTAGGTATTTACAAGAAGATAATTAGAATTAATATTTTCTATTTAGCAACAAGATAAATACATCTTAATTGTAAAACATATATTTGCGTATTATTTAAAATATAATTAGAAACTGGTTAATATAATTATAATAAATTTAAGAATAATATGGTTCTAAAGGCGGGGTGTGTTGTTTCGAAACATTAACTATAATTTAAATGTTAAATAATAAAGGAAGAAAATATGGAAGCATTAAATGCCTATACTATTTATGAACTTCTACATTCCCATAAAATCTATTATACTAATTATTTGATATTGTATATTGTATATATTATATACATATTGTATAAACTAACCATAATTATTGTGACGAATCACGATTTTCAATTATTTTTAAATCGATTTGTACATCAATGTTAATACCATAATTTCCAATTATTTTACATTATTAAACCCAAGACCATGACCATGTTTAATAGAAATTTCTTGGAGATATTATAAACGTTTATGACTATTTATTTTTTCAAATTACTATTTCACTTGTAATTAAGATTACTTAAATTAAATTATCATGAATTAAATTATTATAATAGATATGAATTAAACACCACAACCGATTCATCCTCTTCAACATAAGATAAATAAATTTCAATTGAGCCTTTCAATTGACAAAATGACTAACTCCACTTTCAAAATTTTCGATTATTAACTTTATTTACAGTTCTATATGTCAACAATCACCTACTCTGTAAATAACTTACTAACTGTCTGTACATATATTATAAATTTCCAAACCATAAATGTAAGACACAATTAATATTTGATGAATGAGCCACTGTATTAATTATTAATAAAATAATAAATCTGTACACTATACACTCCAAACTCCAAATATACTCAGTGTTACTTACAATAACTCTTATACAAAAACAACAGGCGAATATACGATAAGGGCCTGAATCCCTTCCCAAAATGGTTAAATATAACCACGTCTTATGAAAAGAATAAAACAAAAATTACCTCTAAATGTATCATTGTTCGTGTAACTACATTTAATACAATTTTAGGAATCCCTTAAGGATAATTTCATATAGGTAGTAAGTTTCTTTGTTTTTCTTCTAAAGTGATAATTATTATAATATATTTATATAAAAAAATCTTTCGGGCTGAAGGACACAAAATTAAATCCTGGGTCTACCACTGATAAAAACTATATTTGAACGTTACAATCGTTTGTACAATCGTAGACAGAGAACGGACAGAAGGTCGCCAGGTACAAGCCAAGCCCTCGTTTTGAAGGAAAGGTCATGATCACTGCCACCTTACCTTTTGGAATATTGTACACACTATATAAGTGTTTGTTATTCATGATTAGTTTTTTCAAGGTTTCTTTTGTGATTCGAGGCAATCAAAAATAAATCCTCCAGCTTCTTTTCAATAGCTGATATATACAATACTAATATACCTTGGAAATAATCCTAGTTTTGCGTTTTGAATAAACGATTTAAAATAAATTATTAATTTTTATTAAATATTCAAAATTTCCTAATGGTGCTAATTACTCAATAAAGTTTAAAATATTGAGGAAAATTTTGCCCATTCTCAAGTCGAAAATGGGCATAATTACCCGAAACGTCGTCAATAACTTGGAATTAATTAATGCAATAATTAAATGTATAAGGGTTAATATATATTGTTTTTCCTCAATATTATAACTTATTGATGTTTGAATAATTTTTTATACATATTTTTTTTATTTTGTTTCATTGATTTAACAATTTAATAATTAATATTATATAATTGTAAAATATAAATCCCCTCAAGATTCATTTTTTAATTTTGTTACATTTTATTTAACTGTAGTGAGTAGGGTAGCTCAGTGGTTGGGCCATGAACTTCACATGTTCAATAACCCAGGTTCAAAAACCGGCTCATAGCAGAAAAATTATTTATTCTGTTCCATCGCCGTGGGGCGAACTTGGCCTAGGGAGACCCTCCTGGGGCACACCCAGCCTCTACAACGTGGGAAATCTTAATTAAATAATTAATTATGGAGGGAAATCTTAAGGCGGTTGAGCTTTATCTCGGTCAAATCACCTCCTTGCACAACAGTTGACCAAGAAACAGTGCTTTCCTTAAATAGTACTAAACCCAAGAACCTTGATGGGTTGTAGTGGAACAGGTTTTATTTAACTATAGATAATAAGAAGACCTTTTATAATAACATTAACATTATAAATATTACTTATGGATTATACATGACGATTATTAATATCAATAAACTAGTTATTCCAAGGTGAAACGAAAGACCTTAAACAAGCTACTCGTCATATTACTATTTTTTACAATAGAGAAAAATGTGAAATGGTTAATATTTTCAAATAAAAAAATAAAAGTACTTTAGAGGAAGCTAATAATGAAAATTACTCATTTGGTCCCTGTTAGATAACACCAATGAGAATAAAATCTTTAAAAAAAAAAGCTTAATTTTACACTGAAATAACGAGTTTGATCAAATTCTTTGAAGCCGTTTTGAGTAAATCGTAAAAATGTATTTCATCGATCATATAAAGTGCCACTTCCGGTTAACCTATTTTGACGAAAAAGCTCCTGTAATATCTGAAATATATACATACGTCAAATGCGTAATTCCACTTTTCTTTTTTGATCTAGACCCGTCACATACACACCGACATATGCACACACAGAGAACATTTTGCGGGACTTGGTTATTTAGATTCAGACGAACTCAAAACATGTATTTCCATTGAAAATTCAAATTCGAAAATTCTCACAATCACAGTACTTCCCCTTAATATATATTTCATGTATAGGTAAGTGAGAGTAAAACAAAAACATATTCGGTTCATATGGAATTTCTTCGTATTTCCATTTACTATGAGTTAACACCAAAATAATGAATTGACATAGCAGTAAGTATTTCTTTATTTTCCCAACGGAAAATTCTAACATATTTTAATATCCTACATCTTTGCTAATACTTGTTCAATTTAAATGACTTATGTTTTAATTGATAATAACAGTTTTCTTTGACATACCCCACAGTTTAAGATTAGTATTTCAAATATTTGTTTAGATGTGGCGTGGATGGATTTAAGACTGTTGGAGATCTGAAGGTGGTAATAGATACCGATGTAGGCGCCGATGATGCTATGGCAATCTTGATGATGCTGTCCAAACAGAGCAAGGCTCGAGTGATGGCCATAACCACTGTTCGAGGAAACACTGGAGTAGAGAATGCGACGATGGGTGCCTTACTCACTCTCCAAGTAGCCAAACGCATGGAAGTAAGCACATTGAAACTTGCTAATATTGACACACCTTAATACCATCCTCAGACCGGACTCTTCGTTACAGATACCGGTTTACATGGGGAGTCCACAAGGCTTGGTATTTGAGCAGAACTCAACGAACCACTTTGGCTTCGATGGGCTAGGAGATATCTTTGTCAAACCTCCACTGAAGCAGAGGCAAGATGTACACGCAGCACTAGCTCTTATAAATCTGGTGAAGAAGAATCCTGGTTAATAATTTTCTTATTCATTATTAATTATTTTTTGTTTTGGGCCTTTCAAAAACATACCTATTTTTCCAGGTGAAATATCACTTCTTTGTATCGGCCCTCTTACAAATCTTGCCCTAGCCATGCACGTCTATCCGCGACTGATTATGGATCTGAAAGAGGTCGTGATTTCGGGAGGCTCATATAAGGGTAAAGGAGGCACATAATTTTATTATTATCAATGTCATTGATATTATATAAAAAACATATGTTAAAATTGAGTCCATGGTGGTGGTTTGTTTTTAAGGGTTGAATCGGGCATCATGTTCAGCCCACATAACATCTCGAAATCCAAATTGCCTAGAATAGGTTGGTTATAGTCTGTAAGTAAGATATCCTGTTTTTCGAATTTCTGTTCGAGTTTAAATGGAAGTCTGGCCCATAGCTGCATCAGGGCAACTTTTTTATGGAGATATATGTAGAATGAGTTTTTCTATATTTAAGAAAAAACCTAACCTTGCGTTACGATCCATCCGCAAAAAACGAACAAATATGTTTTATGATTAGATTATTTACACTAAAATCTACTATGGACAATTCTTGTCACAAAGTAGGTCACTATATTTTCAGAAAGAATCAACTTTTTTATTATAAATATATTTTATTGAAATTATAAAAAAATAATGAAGAAAATCCACAACTCACATTACATTTCACTAGAGCTTTGGCTATTCTAGTAAGGTTGACCAAAACTAATTTCCCTAACAACATTGAAATGTTCAATAAATAGTTTTATTTGCTTCAGTAATACATATATAATTTATATTAGCAATACCTAAATTAACAGTATGAAGAAGTTACTGCAGTCAAGAATGGCTTTAATAATATTTTCTCTTACATCACATCACTTATAAAAACCAACCGATTGATGGGAATCGTGAAAGGAGAAATTAATTTATGACTAATGTCAACTGAGAACATTGACGCAACAGGTAATATTTTAATGCACTAAAAAAAAAAATTAAATACTGTAACCTGAATACAGAAATATTAATTAATCCACTGGTTGTTGACACCACCACATGCTGAGATTTAATCCAATGCCAGTTGTAAAAAAAAGTTATTCCAGTTCTAAATTGAATACAGGAATTCAGTGCAGAGCTACCAAAATAATCCTAGACATTTAATTGCTAACTAAATTCGTTGTCAATTTCGATGGTCGATAAATAAGAGTGAATTGGGAAGTAGTGGGCAAATTTTACGTTACGCTACAGTATTAAGTTCTAGGGAAATCGAAAGTTTGCATTTTCTCACTAGTAATCTTACAATAGCAATTATGGATGGCTTTCTACGCCATCATTAGCGCACTAGATATTAATCCATGAGAAAAACGTCCTGGAAGCTTCTTCTTCGTAATCACAGGGATCATGTAACAAAGATTGCAGAATGTGGATTCGAGGACAACGAGGTGTCCATGGCCTTCGAAGGACAATCATTTTTAAAATTTTTGAACTTTTTATTTATCTATTTTTTTTAATTAAAAGAAACTCTTGAATAGTTTTAATAGTGATAAATTTCAATAGTAGAACTTTGCTGGGTTAATTATAATACAAATGATGAACGTTTATAAATACATTAAAAAAAAAAAACTTAATGTCGCTCTTAAGGGAAAAAAAATCAAAAAGAAAAACTTAAATTAATTTTACATTTTAATCAGTCAATTAATATTTATAAAACCAATAAAAATTGCTAAAAGGTAAATTATGAATATTTGTTTTTGAATTATTATTTTTATCTTAGTTCTACAGACATTGTAAATCTTGGGTCGTCTGAATTAGACTTCTCTATCTGTGGAGAACATGTATCAATTCAAAGTTCTAACGTGTATTCCAATATTTATTCGTTAAGCATTAGGAACCCATGATATGATATATTTCGATAAAAAGTTCTAAAATAAAATTTCGTAAAACTATTTAAAATTTAATTCGCAATTTATTTTAAGGTTTATGAATAATCTGTATTTAATTCTTCACGGACCCATCCCATCATCGTAATTAATATCGGAATGATAATATTTCAAACCTCAACCTTAGCAACCTCTAGGGCCTACAATGAGATCTTCTTTTTACTCTTGTAGAATATGTTGGTGACCTGCAGAATACTTTTCGTTCCTCTCCAGTACAGGCCAGTGAAATTAAAAAACACAAAAGGTCTTTGGTCTTCATTTAGTTGATAATATCTTTTCTGTCCTGGTGATCCTTAATACTTGCTCTGAATTATTTATTGGTGTTTAAAAGACTTAATTAAGGCTTTGTTTTAGGAACCTTCTAAGTAACTAAGTACGTTTTAGGTCTTGGTTTTGCTTTATTTATTAATTAAATAATTAGTTATATAAATGTTCAGGTCAGGGAAACATTAGGCCAGCAGTTGAGTTCAATATGTATATGGATTCAGAGGCAGCATCCTACGTGTTCAGCAACGCTAATAATAATAAATTGATAACTCTAATTCCACATGAAACAATTGAAGAAACTGCAGTTGACAAAGTAAGTTTAAATCTAATTTATTTGCAGCCACTGAAAATTTAATTTATTTTAAATGGGATATATGGCTGAAATGGTGCTTAGTATTAGATATTATTCAAAGGTTAGTTTATAATTGGAAAATTCCAACCACACAGCTTTGAGTCACTAAAGTTCAGGTAAAGATTAAAATAATTTTTTGTCAATTCAGATTGGATATCATGGAGTGATATGATCTTGGTTTTTTTCCTGTTCCTAAGAGCATAAATTAGCAAAACATTGATGGGAATTTTATTATTCACCTACATTTTAGAGACACAAGGCTGTGTAGTTGGAATTTTCCAATCATAACCTAACTTCGATTTTCTGTGTCTTACTAAGTTTTAATTCGTTTACATTAATTGTTTTTCGGCAAATGGGAAAGTTTTTGTGAATCTATATTTATTTTTAATATTTTATTATCACTTTACTAACCTTTGTAAGAAACTATCAACCATTGATGTTTACGCTAGATTCATCAAAGATTACATTTGTCATTCTTTTTTCCCGGACTTGTTTATTATTAGGCGTTAATAATTCCCGCACTATTATAAATGTCCTTGAGACAGATTGTAATATTTTTCAATAAACAAGTTTAAAAAAAAAGAAAATAATTTCCAAGATTACTTTATTATGTTTATCAAGTGAAAGTCAGATGATGCCGCGTTGTTTAGATTAAAGTTTTTATTTTGACTATCTTCCTTTGACTCAGTTCCCAAGGATAATTTTAATGAGCTGCAGTCAAATGTTAAATTTGCAACTAAAACTCAATTTCATTTTTTATAATGTATAAAACAAAAATATTAGGTAAATATTTCATGTAATATATGAAATGTTATCGGTATTTGATATTTATATAGATTAATGATGTAATCCTTGTAGACCAGGCTGGGTCTACGGCTGCTCCTGTCTCAAACTATCGTCTGCACGTTCTTCTGTAATTTTTGACCAAACACATAAATTTATCTCAATGGATGGATAGATTGAAGCGACTCATGAATACTTGCTTAAGATTTGTCTTCGGTACATCGAGGTTATCTCATGTGTCCCACCTTTACAAGTTAAAGTGGCTCTTCCCTTCTTCCGCAGACAATATTTCCGTGGATGTTTCCTATTCCAAACGATCAACACCCGACACCCTACCTACTTCTACAGTCTCCTACAGTTCAAACCCGTGTTCTACTCCCAGAAAACAAGATCCCGTGTTTCCGACCATTATATCCCTCCCCAAAGAGCTAAAACATTTGAATATTCCTTTATTGCACGATTGCCTTCTGCAATTCCTTGCCATCTGATATCCGCCATGCCTCTTCCTTACCCTAATTTTAATATCATTTCTACCAATTCCTTCACACATCCCAAAATGACGTTATACAATGAAATAAATATTGCGAAACAGATTTTGACTGAGGTGAATGGTTGTTAAAATTGATTGAGTTTTAATTTTTAAAATCAACCCATGCTTACATTATTTTGTTTTGTTTTTCATTTAAATAATGTTTGTTGTTTTTTTTTTTTTCAAAATGGTGTTATTTTTACTTGTTTCATTATATTTTCTTTAATATTGATTAATGTAATTTTTGGCCAGATGTAGTTTTTATTTTTTTGATCACAACTGTAATTCATAAGAGACCTCGTCCCAGAATAAAGTTTACTTTCTATCTATCTCTGTATCTATCTATCTAAATATTATAACATAATTTGTTATACATTTCATACAAATCTTTTATAGCTTATTTAGTTTATATTTAGTAATAAAATTCTTCATAATCATAATTTTCATCCTTTATTCGGGTTATGTTTGTTAATGTTTAGAGTTGGAGGCTGAAAGACCTTGGGAAAATAGATTCCGGCTTCGTCAGGTTCTTGAACAAGGCAGAGAAGGTTTCCCTGTCGAGGAAAGATGACTCCTGGATGGCTTACGGACAGACCGCGGCGAGTGTCCTTCTTGACCCGGCAATCGTCACATCGACCAGGATGGCCTGGGTGGATGTGGAGGCGAGCGGCCGGCTCACTCGTGGTGCGATGATCCTCAACCAGGACACCAAGCTTATCAACGTCAGGATTGTAACCGCTATCTCTAAAATAGGACTGGAGAATATGCTTCTGTCATATCTTAGAGGGTAAATTTTCCTGATGACTGACTAAAATGAACATTGGGCTCTTTTAAAAGTTAAAAGTTAACTTCAACGGAATCCATTTCACGAAAAATCTTTATTAAACTATTCTTGTCTGTGATATGTAAAAAATAAATCGAAGATAAAATAAATATATTATTGCAATAATATTCATTTTTGTTTTGAAAAATGCATGATAAAAATAATTTATTTTTAGAATAGATATATACAGTTGTTATGTTTAAAACAGCTACTATATTTTAACCACCAAATAGTAAAATTCTTATAGGTATTAATTTAATTTATGATATAAATTATATGACGAGGCATTCTGTCCACAGGAGACAACTTAGATTGTCAGTAGCGAAAGAAGGTACTGCCTCTACACCCTGTAGTTTTGGTCCTAATATCCATTTCCTAATTTCATTTTAATGCATGATTTGTTTAGAAACTTATATTTTAACGAGATAGGAGTACTATAATTTCTTCACAACTTATAATTATATAAACATCATAAAAGGATGAAGTTATTACAAAGCTAAATGGACGAATACCTGATCAGAACATTTATGTCGATTTGATTAGATTTATCAATAGAAGACAGTAGAAATAGCAATTTTAATTGGCAATATAAAACTGTAAGAAGATTATTTGTTCTTCCCTACCTCGCCTTTAGGCTATACGAGGTTTTTCCAGGTCTGGGGCGTGGCCGTGGAAATTGAAAATCCCCTCTAGCACCGGGATGCGAACTCGTAGTTTTAATCTTTCATAACTTTGGTTATCTGGTTGCTCGGCATATATATATATATATATCTACGAACATTTTGGCACGCTCACCGGACCTTCATCGGAAATCTTTTATTTTACATTATATTATCAAGGCTATTTATTAACTTATTATTTATATACTTTTTTCTACTTTATTTTTTCTTCACGTCATCTAATGTATTTAATCTTTTTCAGCGTCTTTCCATCAAATACCGAATGTCCTCTCCGAAATCCTACTCATGTCTAGTGTCCTAACTTCCTGCCACGTCAACTCCCAATCCCTTCCAGCCCATTACGATGAATTCCTTGAATATTTTACCCAAAACTTTTACCACATCATCGCAATTTCCGAAACCTGGCTCAAGCCCTACATCCCCTCCTCTTCAGTCTCCCTTCCTAACTACACCCTAATCCGCCACGACCGGGACAGCCGGACTGGCGGAGGTGTAGCTCTGTACGTTCATACCAGCCTAAAGACCCGAATTCTCCATCGTTCTTCTCCAACCGATCAGCCACAAGTCGAGTTCTTGATCGTCGAAATCTCCTGTAACACCTCTCATCTCCTCTATTCCGTGGTATATCGTCCTCCTCTTGTTCCGTTTGACCCGTCTTTCGAAGCTTCCCTCTTTAACTTTGTGCCCCTTTATTCCAAAATTATCATTTCCGGTGACTTAAACACCAATTTCCTCTCCGACTCCAGCGACAAATCATACCTAGAAAACCTTTTTTTCTCCCTTCATCTTGTTATCGTTCCTTTTTCTGCTACGCATCACACCGCAAGGTCCGACACTTGGTTGGACCTGTACATTATTGATTCCGCTCAAAACCTCCTTTCCTCTTCCCAATTACCAGTTTCTTTTTTATCGTCGCATGACCTAATGCAAATATCCTATAATATCCAAACCCCTCCGATCCTACCGAGAACGGTAACTTTCCGGAACCTCAATGGCCTTACTCGGGAAAAAATCTTACCTTCCCTAGAATCCCTAGATTGGAATATAATATATTCCTGTACCTCAATTGATTCCATGGTTGACATTCTCACCTCCAATCTTATTAATATCCTTGATGACCATGCCCCTCTCAAAACCTCCACCTTTCGTCGCCTTCCTGCTCCCTGGATGTGTCAGAAAATTAAGGATCTTCAGAAGAGGCGTGATGCAGCCCGGAGACGCTTTAGACGCACTAGATTGCCTGACGACTATCAAGCGTTCAGGGCGCTCCGCAACCTGACACAATCCACAATCCGACGAGCCAAATCTACCTATTTCCATGAAGCCCTTTCCTCAGCTCCTGATTCCAAATCCAAATGGCTACTCCTTCGTAAACTCTCTCTTTGTGATCCTACCAGATCTCCTGCCTCTGCAGTGCCTCCAGTTTCATCAAATGACTTAAATTCTTATTTTATATCTGCTTCCTCTTCAACTCCTTCATTTCTCCCTTCCTTCCTTCCTCCTGGAACATCTTTCAATGACGCCGATTTTTATTTTTCAGATATTTCTCCCACAGACCTCATATCCGCCGTGATGAAATCACACTCTAATTCTATTGGTCCAGATGGCATTCCCGTCAAATTAATTAAATTATGCCTCCCTGAAATCCTTCCGGTACTCCTTTTCATCTACAATTTTTCCCTTCAAAATTCAGTATTCCCTTCCTTGTGGAAAAAAGCCACAGTCCGTCCTTTAAATAAAAATTCTAATCCGTCTTCCCCTGAAGATTTCCGGCCAATCTCAATCCTTTCTAACCTTTCCAAACCCCTGGAGAGAATTGTGCAATCCCAAGTTTCCACCTTCCTTGAACAGTCCAATCAACTTGACCTTTACCAATCTGGTTTCCGACCAGGTTATTCCACACAATCCGCCCTAATCAAAATCATTAATGATGTTCAGTCCGCCATTGATGACAAAAAACTAACCGTCCTTATACTCATTGACTTTTCCAAAGCCTTTGATTCCATCAACCACTCCATTCTCTTTTCCAAATTAAAATCATTATCCTTTTCCCATAGTTCTATCCTATGGTTTCAATCATTCCTTTCCCAACGCTCACAAGCTGTCGCTATTCCTAATCAACCCTTGTCTTCCTATCTTACTTTGTCCGCAGGAGTGGCCCAGGGCTCTAGCATATCTCCCCTCCTTTTTAGTTCTTATATCAATGACATCCATAATTCAATCCTTCACTGCTCCCATCACCTTTACGCCGATGACTCCCAAATCTACCTTTCCTTCCATCCCTCAGAGTTGCATGAAGCGTTTGCCAAAATTCAAGAAGACTTGAATCGGATCAGTGCCTGGGCAAACTTAAATGGGTTAAGGTTAAACGCTGCAAAAACTCAAGCCATTGTCATTGGTTCCAAACCCCTTCTCAGAGCCAATACCAACATACCTATACTGTACCTAAATGACCATCCCATTACCTTCACCTCCTCAGTAAAAAACCAAGGCATTTTCATAGTCCAAACCCTATCCTGGAAACACCATATTGCTCACATTACCCGACAGTCAATTGGTACCTTGAAACTATTCCATCGTTTCCGCCATCACCTACCCATCTCCACACGTAGACTCCTAGTAACTTCCCTCATCTTCCCCCACCTTGATTACGGCTGCGTGGTGTACGGTGGCCTCTCGGCAGAACTCGGGGAGAGACTGAAAAGAATTATGAATGCCTTCGTAAGATTTGTCACAGGGGCCCTGAGGTATTCCCGTGTTTCGCACCACTATGCTGAATTAGGATGGCTCTTCCCTTCCTTCCGAAGACAATATTTCCTAGGCACATTCCTTTACCAAATAATCAATAGTCATCGTCCGTCCTACGCATACAATCTCCTACAATTCAAATCATCTATCCACACCCTCTCCACAAGATCTCGTCCTTCTGACCTTTACACTCCTTTCCACAGATCTGCATCATTTAAACATTCCTTCGTTGTCCGTTCCACCGCATTCTGGAATTCCATCCCACTAAAAATCCGCCATGCATCATCCTTAGCCACCTTTAAAACCCTCTTATTCCAATTCCTCTTCACAATCCAATCAGATGCTGGTTAAATACATACTATGTTATAAGGATTTAATTTTCTTTAGACATTATTTTTTTCTCTTATTTTTTATTGTTTTATTCTGTGTTGAACGTGAATTTTCATCACCACTCACTAAGCATTGTGAGTAGATAAAATTTGTTTTCCTTAAGTTCTAATTTGTTATTCATGGAATGTATTTCAGTGAAATGTATTTTATTTCTAATTATCTTCAACATACTTCTCGCTATGTGTATATATATACTTTATTTTATTTTCTCTTCTCCTAATCTTTACGCATAATCACTTAAATATCTTAGGGAACATATGTATATCATTATTTGTTTTTTTATATATTTTTTTGTTTTAGTTTTTACAATTTCTTTCCCTACATATTAACAGTTATTATTATTTTTTTAAATTTTTATATTCCATCACTACAATGATTTACCTATAAAATAGATTGTACTTTCCTTTATAATTTCATTCAGTGATTATTATGCAATTATTTTAGCTCCAATATTGTAGTACTGAATCCCTATTACCAAACTGTCCTCGTTAATTAATACTTAATGTATTACATGTATTTTGTCATTATTCATTGTAATAAGTCTTTTGACCAGATTTGTAGTTAATATATATGTACAATACTGTTATTCTAAAGGGACCTAGTCCCAGAATAAAGATGATTTTTCTATTTCTATTTCTATTTCTATATATACATATTTATAAAAATAGAGAGAGAGAGAGAGTGCTTGTGAGCAGTTTCTCAGTGAGTAAGGACTGACTTTCAAAGCCTGGGTTTAAATCAAGCTGGTGGGAGCTGACATTATTTATATTATTTAATCAAACGTGGGGGAAGAAGAGCCTCCTGGGACAGTACTTTCTTACCAAGACTGTTCCAAAGACCCTTCATGGATTGATTGATATTGTGATGTATCGTTTTACTTCAATTCGAAATAAAAGATGAATATGAATGAATATATAAATATGACAAATAAATTTAATTATAAATATTTTATGAATGGGACCAAATATAATGCAGATGAATATTTTTTTTTTTTTTTAAATAAGCTATTGCAAGTAAAATGATTTTACACGCAAATATATTTTTATCCCTTCTGAGATAAATTTAATTTTTTTTTTTGCTTCCTCATTACCGATGACAGAGAAGCATCGTATTCTTGCGAAATTTAAAAAAAAAAATTGTGCTCAGAATT